CCTTTATCCACTTCATCATCAAATCAGTGGATGTTTCATGTGGTGTCTTTTTTCCTGTTTTTTTTTTTGGAATGTCTGAATGTTTGAGCCTCCTGTATTTTAATAACGCAATCTGATTTGTTATTTAGCCAATAAATGTGCTACTGAGGTTGTAAAGGTTTCAGTACTGCACCCAATGAATGTCAACTTATATATCGATTCATCAAATGAAATGACCCAAAACTTGAAACTGTAAATATCCGGTAAGATCTATTATACAAATGCAGAAATTATCCAGTTTACACAAATATATACTGTTTGTCCCAGTTATGAGAAAAATTCAGCATTTTTCTTTGAGGTAAATAAACACAAACGGGCCATACAGATCCGGATGGTTTACGCAGGCACAAAATGACTCTTTGTGGTTCAGATCTGACCTGCTGTGAGTGATTTAAATGGGGTGAAACCACACTGGGTTTTTTCCCCTGTTATGACTGCCATGAAAAGGTCAGAAAGGGGTAGATGTGTTACTTCTGTGTTTTCCGAAAAGGATAAGCTCTGTGCCAGTAAGAGTGGCTTCATAAAAAAAAACCCACCTTGAAATAAATATACTCATATCCCTTCACAGAGCATTGCTGTAGACATAAATAAATATACTTATATTATAAATAAACTGTCTAAATAAATCAGATATTGGTTTGAAGTGGTTTTGTCAGTGTGGCCATGCCAACAGCAACATCCATACTGAGGTTAGAGACAGGGGAGAGGGTTGGGATGTTTGTTCCTAAAAGTAAGAAATATGTGTAATAAAAATGATTAAAAAAAACGTATGCTTAAATTTGTCAGTTTAAATTCTAGGCAGATTTTACAGCAACAAAGCCTCTAGCAGCAATTATGTTGTTATCAAAAGCAATCATTAACTGAATGGTGGTTTTACATTATTTCCCACAGTCTTTTATTGAATAATGTGGATGTGTGTGGGAATGTGTGTTCAGGGTGTCTCCCTGTCGCTTAATGCATGCTGGGATAGCCTGGAGCCTCTAAACCGCTTAAAAACAGAAATGAACAGATGGGCATTGTAGCAGCCTTCAATACTGTATCTTGCAGTTTGCACCCACACTAAAATGTTTAAATGTATGCTGTATCACGACATTGTGTCGTTTTATCTGACAGCTTCTGGATTAACTCCATCATCATCATCCTCACCATCATCAACTACGTGCATCATCATCATCATCATCATCACCATTATGATGAACTTCAACAGCACTGAATCCTGGCTTTTTATCAATACTTCATTTTCCACCCTGCCTGTAGTAACTAGTCCTAATAACGGAAGTGGCATGGAAGGATATCTTCAAAGACTGGCTCATTTAGACGAGGGGCTCTACAATGACTTTTACGGACTCTGGATTGCACTGATGGTCACAAACTCTCTCATATTCCTGGTAGGAACTTTTTCTTACATGAGTTTCAAGACTCAGTCTGTATGAACTCCCTAATTCTACTCTCCTCTCCCACAGGTAGGCATGGTGCTCAACATAGTTGCACTTTATGTCTTCTGTTTCCGCACCAAGCAAAAGACCACCTCAGTCATCTACACCATCAATTTGGCAGTTACGGACCTCTTGGTGAACCTCTCTCTGCCAACTCGCATCCTGCTCTACTACAGCGGAGGAGCTTGCCTCACCTGCTCCTACCTGCACATCTTCAGCTACTTTGTCAACATGTACTGCAGCATCTTGTTTCTGACCTGCATATGTGTCGACCGTTACCTTGCAATTGTGCAGGTGAGTTTTGTCTGTGGTTTGGTAACAGAATCGGTCTAAGTTACGTTTTCTAAAGCCTAAACTGTCCCTTCACAACATACCTGGATACCTGCTCATTCTGACTGCAATACCAAAAGGAACTTACAGTAAAACTGAAAATCTTATTCTGTCCTTGTAGGTTGAAGCTTCCCGTCGGTGGAGGCACTCCAGTGTGGCCAAATGTGTGTGTGTCTCTGTCTGGCTGTTTGCAATCGTGGTCACCTACTCCTTCCTTTCTACTGCTTTCCAGCACCCAGGCTGCTGCCTCTCAAAGCTCCTCTTTCTCACCATCACTGAGTTCTTTCTACCCCTCGTCATCATTGTGGTCTTCACACTGCGGATCATGTGGGCACTAGCTGACCGCCGTCTGATGCAGCAGAGCAGGTATGTTCAACACATAGACACCAGTAAGAAAGTAAAGAATATCATCGTATATCAGTACATTTCTGGTCTTGGTCTGTTATTTGCCTGTATTAGATATGGAAAGCTTAATGCTTAAAAATGACAGTATTTTAAGTATGCAAGCTTGTGATACAAGAACATCACCATAAAAGAGACAGAAATAACTCATTTGCAGCATTAAAAGCATTGGAGGCTTACAGCTGATGGGATGTGGTGGTTTTGACTGTATTTCCTCAGGGAGAGGAGGAGGAGAGCTGTCCAGCTGCTGAGCACAGTGCTGATCATCTTCACTGTCTGCTTCACACCCTTCCACATCAGACAGGTAAGTGGGCAACAGGTTTGAAACATTGTTTAAATATAATATCATCATCATGTTTTTGTAGCCCTTAAATCCTCAAGCAGTTCCAAGATAACCCTAAGGCATCACAAGATGATTAAAGGATTGAGAAAGACTCGTGTTACACCAAATTATGTTTATTTTTTCCAGAAAATCAGAAACATCTTTCTTTGGTTGAGTTGCAAAACTCATTGTATACTCATTGTATACTCAATCCGCAGTCTGTGAAAATCCAAAAAGCTGAAAATCAAGATTAACATATGATAATGCAAAATATATATAACATTATTGGTTAAATGTAACGACATGATCTTATGGCTGTGCTGTTCTGTGTTATAGGTGGTGGTGTACTTCTACCCCGATATGCCTCATCATGTGATAGTCTACCACTTGACTGTCACTCTCAGCAGTTTGAATAGCTGTATGGATCCTGTCGTTTACTGCTTTGTTACAAATAATTTCCAGGTAAGACTCTTCTTCTTACTCTCTTCCTCACCTTTCCTCACCCCCCTCCATCATCCTTCCTCTCTGCCACCTGTCCATCTACCTATTCTTCCCCCGCAGCCATAATTTGTCCATCCATCATCCACGTTTTTGTCACTTATTTACTCATTGATTCACTGAATAATTTACTGCCCCTTTCTCCCTCAGGCCACAATGAGAAATATATTCCGTCGTGCAGAGCCGGAGCAGACTAGTGGTGACATCATCAGCATGCAGCACAGCTCCAAGGCCTCAGGAGGGACGCCCAACGCCATCTCTAATAATGTGATCATGATGACCAAGATTCCCACTTCACTGCAGAGAGACAATCAGGGGGAGAACCACACACTTTAAATCCCTTTACACACAGGGTGAAAAGAACTAAATGTTACTGAGATGCCACAGTCGCCTGGGGGAAAGGTGGCTGATATTTTTGGACTTATGCTGACCAGCGATAACAGTGTCAGTGTATAATGGCAGAGTGCTAAGAGCTCAGGATCAACAGCCACCACCCAAAAGCAACACTAAAAACTTTTATTGACTGCTTAAATCAATTGCAGCGTTGACAAGAAACAAATTTAGTCTGCAACTAAACATCATTATCATGCCAAAAAAACCTTCCCATGACTTTGGAGCTGTGAAACAATCTGTCTGACTGCTAGAGCTGCCAGATTCAAACAATACAAAAGAATACAGAGCAGATTTATGAGTTTTACTGTATTACTTGAATTATAAAAGTGACAAAATGCCAAGTCTTATTAAAAAAGACTTTGAACATTGATACTTGATGTTATCTTATCTACATCATTCCAATCTGATATATTTTACATTTACATTAAAGCGAACTTTGCAAGGAATATTTGGCGTGTTTTCCCTATTCAATTTTAAAAACTGAAAGAAAGCAATACCTGCAATGAAGTACGATGAAGTTGATGAGTACAGTCTTCATTTTTGGTAACATAACAGAGATTGTCTAAACAGTTTCATAATGTGTGTAATCCCTGAACAAATCCTCTAGCTGAACACAACTGCAACTGCAAAAGGAAAGCTGTGATTTCTGTTATGCGGAAAATCTTAGAAATGCCCAGACCAGAAGTGCTGGTATTAACAAAAGAAGATATTGATGGTCATCATAATATAAAACAGACCACATCTGTGTCTGTTTCTCAAATGAAAGGGTGGTGATATGTTGTTTATTTTTTATGGCTGGATTACAAGCCGACCACGTCAGAAGATCCACTGCAAGAAGATATTTGGAAATGATAACTATTTTTGTGCAGCAGAGGGCAACATTGCACTCCCTTTCAAAGACCATTAAAGAGACCAAAGAAAATGCAATCACTCTAATGGAAACTGCTTGGATGACTGAAAGCAGCTACAATGTGAATGTTTAGTTTTATAACAATGTTTCATATTTATGTGCTGTAAAGTAAACAAAATGCCATTTCTGTTTCATCAACAAACATCAGAAATGTGCAGGAAGAAATGTCACATTAAATATACAGTGGAGAAATTAGGGGGGGAAATAAAGTGGTGTTCAAGTGAGTCAAATGCTTTGTTTATGCATTGATCTGGTGCTTTTACTGTTTTGGGGAGTTATTTTCCTTGTTTCATGTTGATGGGATCAAGTTCTAGTGAATCAAATATGTGTATAACATTGTACTTAGACCACCAATGTTTGGTTCTTCAAATGTAAAATCCTAAAAGTCTTTACATTTATTCTTTGAGGAATGACGTTTAGAAAAAAAAACTAACTAACCCTAACAGATAAGTTAAATATTTGAATGCAATTTAAAATATAATGCCTCCTTTTAATCATTATAACTATCATTATTTCTATTCTATCGGTGGTATAAACATAACACCATAGTAAACCTTTATTACTGCATTATTCCATATAACTTAGGTGAGTAGCTTGGTGACGTCATTTGCGTTGACTTATGACCACGCCCCGCTTTGTTACTGTGGCAACCAATGAGATTGATGAGTGTAGTAAACCAGATGGTCACTTAGTTAGCTGGCAAAGGTTAGCCAGCCTGCTAACCCAAACCGAGAGTTTTGCCCTCAGCGGTACCGACAACTTCACGTTCAGCGGGACTGCTTTTACTCTACCACAGCGGAGTGAAAGCTCAGGTATGTCACGTCTCTTTCTGCCTTCAACATAAGTGCGTCTCTCTGTCTTAACGTAACTTGCTAACTGTTAGCTGCCAGATTTATTAGCCAGCCGAGCTCGCTAAGGTAACGTGAGCCACAGGTTAAACCTCAGTCAGTGTGGAGTTAACGGGGACGTGTCCAGAGTCAGGTGTGCGCCATCCTCACGCGTTATAAATGTCCGTTATGAAGTGACTCGTTGTTATGTTATTATGTAAGTTACGACAGGTCGGTAGCTCAGGTAAGTCAGCGATACCGTTAGCGGAGTTGCCCACGGGTGAAGCTTGTCCTGACTGGTTCAACAAGCCCCTCAGACACACACACACACAC